CTCAACGTCTTCGGTTTTGATGTACTGTAGTCCGTTGCCATGGGGGTCTGGCAGGTTGTCCCTATTCTCATGCATAACATAGGGGTGGATCTTTGGTGTGCCCCTGCCATGATGGCCGCGCGAGACCTTGCTGATGGTGGGTGTGCTAGTGTCCTCCAACGTGCTGCTCCTGACACTTGTCAACCGTTTGTGGGGTGGAGTGGATGTTGAAGGATTTCATGCGCGCCCTGCTGTGGTTGCTCCTGAGCACTTGCAACTTGGGGGCCCAATGAAGCCTACACTCCGACATTTGTTTGGTCTTCGGAATTCATCCAGATCATTTTTTGGGCCATGTTACACTGTCATGTTAGTCAAGCCCACTCTTCACTGTCTTAATGCATGACTGGTACGCCCAAACCAAAAACAATTGCCTCCAAAAATCAACAGAAGACCACCTTTGGTGTAAAGACTCTTAAACTGATGTACGGGTTTGAACAACTTGTGGCCAGTTTGCTTCTCTGGGGGTGGGGCCAGTCTGGTGTTGCCGGTCATCCACCACTTTCGAGACGACGACGACGACGGTCTGGGGCCTTTCAGAAAGCCCAGACCGGGGTAGGGTCTGGTGAGCCGAACCACCGAACCTGGACCTGGCGCCCTGCCTCTGGGCCGGGCCGGCCCCATGCCGCTCAGCTCATCGAGGACCGGCATGGGCCTCTTTGTGTTGTTCTTCTTCAGCACCTGGGGCGTTGGCTATTGGTCTGTCGTCGTGGAGGTGCGATGGTGGGCGCCAGAGGTGAACAGAGCTGCAACATGGAGGCCATCCATCCCAGCTGATGGGGGTTTGAGATGTCAGGTATCAGGAGCCTTCGCTAGTAGGTTGGAGGCCATTGCTAGTAGGTTGGAGGCGATCGCTGATGGATTACGCGCGGCCGGCCCCCCACTCCACACTCTACATCTTCTGAGTCCAAGATGTCAAGTGAAGGGAATGCCACCACACATCTTTGTCAACAGTGCCCGTTGATTCCCAACAGCAGAATGCAGTTGGGTTTTCAATCTCTCTGCGAGGGAGTGGTCCACAGTACAGCTTGCCCCCCGCAGGCCCAAATTGAGCCGGAATTCCACCTGGAACCTTGGAGCCAGTGCTGTTAAGTGCGATCACACTTCCACCTTCGAAGTCATGGTGCTGCTAGGTGCCAGACTTGCGGCTTGGAACCCTGCCGCACCCAGCAGCTGTGATGGGACTCACAACTTGGAACCCTGGGTGCTGTAGGTGCTGCAATTGGACTTCCGGACCTTGCTGATGGGACTTTCTCCTGGGTGCTCTCCTTGGTGCTGTGGCATAAAGCCAAGATTAGCTTGGGATCAGTCTGCTTGCGACCATAAGTCACCTTAAACGTTTCACCTCAAAGAGAAAATGCATCCCATGTACGCTTGGCCCCACGCCCATGGACGCGGCGACCCCACGTCCTGCCGCCAGCGGCCCTGTGTGAAGGGGCCGCTTGACGAGCCACGTTCCTTCTGGGCACGTCAAGCATGTCGAGCAGTGGTCGATTTGCACACCGCCCCCGTGGTGACTGGGCTGAAATGCTCGCGCCCACTGCGCAGGGCACGGCACGAGCGAGCTATCGCGAACCTCCGCGTGATCGCTGGCGAAGCTGGTGCGGTGAAATTTTCATATCGGAGAAACACGGACTCTGTGTCCAATAGAAGTAGTTGAAAGCAGTGCAGGGCATCCTTTGTGCGCAGCGCAAGAACTGTACTTGTATTCCTGTAAATTCCAATGCAGGCGGACCGGGCCGTACTCAGTAACGCACCTTTGTGTGCCGGCAATAGTTGCTGCGTGCACTTGTGGTGTGCTTTCTGTCTCCGTTGCCGTTGCGAAGCATCCTGTTGAAAAACACACTACAAGGTTCGCGCTCAACAGCACAATGGTATTCTTGCATGCCTAGCAACACGCTTCTGTGCCAGCAACAACTTGTGCACTTCTGCTGTGCTTTCTGGTCCCAGAGGAAACCACTCCTCTACGCAGCCAAGCAGTTATACAAATATTATATGCCAGCCGTGCGGCAGGTTTTTGCGCGTACTGATTTGGATTAGGGAGCATACATAGCTGCAGTGTTTCAATATTATCTGAGTTGCTAACTGTTGGGCTGCGAAGCGCAGCTGAGTTCACGTGCCAAAGTCCAAGATATTCTCAAACCACACGTGACAAGTAGTTGCAAGCCCTACTTGTAGTAGAAACAAGTGCCACGCTAGTAGTAACAGGTGCCTTACTAGTAGTAACAAGAAGCTAGTAGAAACAAGGTCATCATCTCTGTGTTTTGGAACTGGACCCTTCGTCGTGCAGCCTGCGGCCAGGTGACCGCAGTGGGCGGCCCTCGCTACGCCAGCTGCGCGCAGGCATTGGCCACCGCCACACTCTTCGGCACGGGGTGGTTGACGTCGCTCACGTTTCTCAAGGCGCGAAAGGGAGGGAGAGAGGGTGGGGGAAGGTTGATCGACGAAACTTTTGGGTAGATTGGCATCCTGGATAAGGTGTTGGGGAGGAACGTTGGACATTTGGTCACTTGAGTTTGTAGGTGAATAAAACCCAGATTGGTTTGTGGGAATCCATTCACACTGCTTCCTAGGCAAACTGGCCGCATCAAAATCAGACTATAACACATTTCCAGTTCCACGTCTGACATTTTATATTTACGTGCTGAGATCATGTCCTGTAGCCATCGAGGTCATGTCCTTGGGAGGATACGGGCTCCTTGTCTATGTGACGGTCGCAGTGCTCATGCCACTTGGGTTGTGAAACGGAGCGATCGCAAGAATGGGCCAGCTGGGGAAAGAAGAAACACACCAAGAAGCAGCGGATCAACAGATGCAGAGTACGCGAGAAGCCAAGAGCTTTCACAAGAACCAAATGCGGTACTACATGGGAGGATTCAAGACAAGGTTGACAAACTTGAGAATCAAGAGAGGCGGTGGATTGAGCAAAGGTTGAGAGTTCGAAGCAACCAGGGTGCGCACCAGCGGAAGAAAGAGGAAGAAAGAGAAAGGCGCTCAAGCACATATGAGGCTTCCTGGAAAATCAAGCAAAAGTCCGCATCTGTATCTTGAAATCTACAAAAAAACGGACAATGGTCCCTCATCCCTTGGTCTTTTGGTCCCGTTTTCTTTCGGGGTCTGATCGCTTCGTGAGGGTGAGGGCAAAGGCGATTAGATTTACTAATAGCAATGGCCTCGAACCTAATAGAGATAATGGTGTTGGACACATTGTCGCCTTCATTGTGCCTTAAACAGAGACAAGTAGACAGATTCCCCGAAAGCGCATGGAACAGAAAGCCGGGCACCAATGGGCACTATCTAATTATCTAATTCAAGGAACACCTTTTACCGGAAATCGGAGATGAACAGTGTAGTGTTCCCACCTGAGGATCTTCGGCGTTGTGGCGCCAGGTCAACTCCGCTGTTCAGATTCCACCAATTTTGGGGTGAGGTCAGCTAGCCAGCTAGCCTTCCCTAAGCTGTTGCGACCGGCGGGACCCACCGATGGAGTGTGGCCCACAGGTGCGTCTACGCACTCGTGTGGTTACCCGAGACCTCCGGCCATTCCTTGGAAGAATGCGCGCATGACGTGGAGGTACAGGTGCGGGTGGCGACGTGGAGGTGATGGGAGTGGGGTGGTGGAAGGTGGGTTGGTGGATGGTTTGAAGAGTGGCCGAATCGGGTGTTGCTCCTCCAACATTGTCCCCACCATTGAAGTTGTCCTCAAGACTCCTGGCTCAGTCTTACTGGGCGCGATTAGGTTGGAGGCCATCACTTCTAGGTTGGAGGCCATTGAATGTATATACAGTAGGTTGTCTTTGGTTTTGGAATCGGTGCGACTCTGTTCCCTGAGAGTTCATCCTGAAGGGGTGAAGGGGATCCATCATGGACCTCCCGGAGAGGATGTTTGACCCTGAGATCACCACAGAGCTGTTTGTCTGAAACACACGCAGGCAGCATGAATTGTTCGTTTGCGCGCACTTCGGTCTTCTCTTTTGGAACGCATGTGATCTTTTGGGGGCCGAACGTGTGGTGCGGATCATCGGCTACATCGTGTGAGACTTCTGTGTGAAAGTCTGGATCAATCTGGATCGATCGGACGTTCCTCACGTCTCGACGTCGCTCGACGTCTTACAACACGTTTCTCCACACGTCTCGGCTGAGCCGGTCCCCCAAACGCCGTCGACGTCTGGAGGCGCATGTGAACCTGGAGGACTCATGCGCCGTCTCCACCTCGGATTCCGAGTCCTCCTGAGGGCTCCGGCGGAGTCTGCCGACGGCAGAGGGCTCAGACGAGGGCGGATGTCCGCTGGAGCGCTCCAGCGAAAGGCGGGACATATCCCCCGTTATTGGAGGGAAATCGTCCAAGTCTGGTTTAAGAAGGTAGGACCCAGATGCAGTCATTTGATGTCATTTGCACCTTTTCTTTTGAAGAGGTGATTTTGTATTTTCCCTATATATATAGGTGAATCGTTTTCTGGGGAAGATGTGTGATGAAATTCTCGGGTTCCGAACAAGCCTTAAGCAACTCCAAGTCTATGGACTGATTTGATGGAGTGCCGTCCGACACGCACCAGCCATTGGTCGTCCGAAGTGACGACGCAGAGCCTTTTGGTCGACGGAGCAGATGGATCACGTTCTGCTCGGCGCGTGGTCGATCGAGGATCGATGGGCAAGTTTTAGACTGTAAAGATCCAACTGGTGTATGCCCTCGGTGTGAATCCGTGACGGGCGACGTTTCTGTGAGACAGATTTCTTGACAATGAAAAAAATCTGTTTCGCGCGCTTTTGTGACCCTTGTATGGCTCCTGTTGGTAGGGAGACAAACAATGTCACCCAAACCAACACGCTTAGCAGCTTAGCATGTCACCCAACCCAACGGCCTCAGAGAAACAGCTTGCGCGCCACGACCGTCCTGGGGTTCCCGCGGGGTTCGTTGGTCTCGCAGGGTTCGCCCGCGTGCACTCCGGTCTTGGACCCTTCAGGTATCCCCGCAGCGTGGTCTCCGCGGAGGGCATCGCGAAGGCCTCTCAGCCGCCGGACGTGGTGAATGGCCGGGTGGCCTGGAGGCGGCCGGACCAGGGCGGCCGGACCAGTGGAATGGTGCTTGAAGGCGTTCGGCTTAGTGTATCGAGACGTTTGGAGTGAGAAGAACGCGGATTTTTTCTGTTTCAAGTTGGGTTGCCGGTGCCTTCTACTCCGTAAAGCGTGCAAGCTTTGGGGTTTTCAGAGAATCGGGAAGAGACTCTGTGGCACACCAGCTGTTTGCAGAGTCAGAGTACATATTTGTATTCGTTTGAGCAAACTCATGTAGCCGTTTGTCAAAAGCCCTTATGCGCCCATGTACATGATACCAGAGAGCTGCTCTATTGTAGGGACCAAAAGATGCTGTGGCACATCCCATCTCGCCTCCTCCTTCTCAGAGTTCGAAACAGGAGGAGGAAGGCTGATTGAGAAGAACGTCAACCCGATCCCGTTTCTTTTTGTTTTGTTCTTTTCAAAGCCCTTCTACGGAATGTGCTGTCCTAGTTTTCCGCTCGAGGTTTGTCAAGTCTTTGTCAACTTGATTCCCCACACGATCAATGACGAACGCGACCCGGAATTACTTCCTAGCTTGAGGAGTTCCTGCTATTTATTGGAACATGTCAATGTCAGAGAGGATGTTTGTTTGTCGCATCACCTTTTGAACGCAACACTTATATAAGTTATATATAACACATGTTTTCCTCGCAATGACCATCCATGTAGGGGTTGGACTTGGACTTCCCCCAGTCTGCGACCGGCCGCAGCTCTCACCCAGTCGGCTCAGGTGTCCAGCTCACGCGTGGTGCGCTGGGCGGGGTGGCTCGACAGCTGGTTGAGGGTTGTGCAAACATCCTGGACCATGGATATGAAGTACGGATGACAACTTAAGGTGAAACACATGGTTCTGTTCGCCAAATCCGAAGTCATGAACATGATATAAATGTTAAAGCGCTTTAAAACCATTGCTTGGCTATACACATACTCATTGGTCCAAGTCTAGTTTTGATTCCTTCTTGCAAATTGGGATTTCCCAGCCACGGCCGGGAAAAGATGAAACGGACAAACACAGGTCATTGTGTACCTTTCACGACCCGTTGTACCTTTCACGACCCGGTGTACCGGTTTCAATTTGGTGGGTGTCAGACCCGACATTCTATGAATCCATCTGTGTACATCCTTTCTACATCTGTGTACAAGCTCCATCCGTTCCATCCGCTCCAGGATTTGACATCTAAGACACAAGAATTCCAAAACTGGAACCCTGGAGTGCCAGAGGTTTTTTTGTATAAAGTTTGCAATTGCAGAGGATCAACATTGCAATGACATGTGCGCTACCGAGCCATTGGTCCTTTAGAGAGTCATTGGGTTGGGAAAGGCAGCCAGAAGCCAAAGCGACCAGTCGCAGGCGTTTAAAATCGGCCCAGCAGGTTCAATAATGCAGACTCTTGGTTTATCTAAACCCCCCAATATGAAGAGGCTTTTCAATCTAATGAAAAGTCATAGGACATGGCGGCAGCAAGGTGAAGGTGGGGGTTCACCCAACGAAGTTTCACTCCAATCAAAATCCAGAAAGATATCACCAATAAGTACATACATGTATATAATTTTGTCAAATATATAATATAGACGTAATGCATACAATAGCAAAATGAATGATTGAACACATTTATGCACCTTTTTCTAACCTCACAGAAATGGACGTCATAATGTTTCTTTAAAGCAGTGGTTTCTTTGGCCTGTCGACCGTTTGAGGAAAGATCCCCTAGAATAAATCTCTTCATGAGGAGAGGCTACAAAGACTAGATCTCTTCATGAGGAGGGATCCCAAAGACTAAAGTATCTTCATGAGGAATGAGGAAGGGCCCCCAAGACTAAATCTGTGCATGAGGAGTTATTGGAGGTTGTTTAATTATTGGAGTCCTGAGCCATCCACATTGAAGGTCAACAAGGCCAACAAGGTCTGAGGTACCATAGGATGAGGGTCTGGTTTAACCAGACTAATCAATTATTGGTCTGGGAATAGATGCTCGATGTTCGCTTGATAATTAACATGAGGGTATTTCCGTGTCTTAAACCGGGAGTGTGCATATGTGGTTCTTGTCTTTGGTTTCACTGCCATGCTTTTGTTCATATGGTTCTCTGTATGTTATCTATCCCTCGGGCGGCCTACTGTATGTGGAAGGGCTTTGGGGGGCGGGAACTGCGTCTGCAAATTGTGTGTGGAAGAACCTCAGTCTGACTTTGCAGGCTGTCTCGTGTTGGGATTTTGCGAAACGAATCGAACGTGTAATTGAACACATGTCGATGAGTACGCCTGATTGCATTTTGCAAACTCAATCTTAAAGAGGAATCATGGTTGTCAAGTATGCCTGCTGCATTTTGCGAAATCGACCTAACAGAGAAAACACGTTGTCAAACGTGCCTAGTACTTTGGGAGTTTGCAAGATCAAGTTGAAAGATAAACTATGTTGTCAAGTATACCTGGGATACTTGGCATGATGGACAATTTGAACTCTGGAACTGATTTTTGTTGTGAGCTCCATGTTGATCACTTCTTCTCGTGGACACAACTCGGGTCTTCCGGATCGGATCGGACGTGTGCCTTCAGTTCGGCCTGTGTCGCGGTCGCCCCTCTGGCGCTCATGTCAGCGCCAAGGATGCAAGGGTAGTGGTTTTGGAATGTCACTTCTTATTTTTTTGAGAACCTGCGAAGAGCGGGTTTTTTGAGAACCTGCGAGGCCTCATCCTCTCCTATCACACACTGCTGAAGCGTATTGCGGAAGGGGATCAGGAGCGCCGGGTGGTGGTTTGAGATGAACTCCTTCGAGACTCCATGCCGCTGGACGAAACAGCCTGCTGTATTTCTGCCACCCAGCTACATGTTTGATCCCTGTGAGACCCCCCGAAACCACAAGACAAGTAATTATCTCCGGTTTGCTACATTCTGGAGAAAGGCAGTTGATCATCCACTGGCCAAGATCGCTCCACACTGCCCCACGGACGCCACATGAGGTGTTCTTCCTATGCCTTTGCGGGTGTCCATCTCGAGGTGGTGGATCTGGTGCCAGTTGAGTGAGTCCTCCCATCGCCAGGAGAGCGTCTACCTCGTCGCCGAGGACGATGCGGTCCGGGCGCCTTGGGTGGAGAGGAGGGCGCCTTTTGAGTGGCGGAGGGGCGGAAGACGATGTTTTCTTAAGATTTTTGAGAGTTCAATGTGGCTTTCTGTTGTTTGGAACTGCCGGGCTATTGTTTGGGTCGTTTTTTGGAGAGACGAACAGCTTGGAGTCGACGTTCTCTGCTGGCTGTGCCATGGAATGGCTTCACAGCTGGCCGGATCTGGGGTCCCCCGACAGGTTGGTTTCGCCCGCAGCATGGGCGCAGGGAGCTTCAGCTCTCGTCTCGGACCTCAAAATCTGGAACCTCGGGGACTCAGGGAACCGACTCGGTCCCGACGGGACCCGGGTCCCAACCGTGTCTCCGGGCGGAGTGCCCCGGCCGGGTCACTGGGACTCCACACCTGCGCAGTGTCGCCCACCTGAGGTCTTTGCTGCCGACCTGTTGGAGCGGTTGAGGGCCGCGGTGCAGGTGGGAGGAGGGAAAGAGGGAGGGAATTTTCGTCAGGCGATTGGAGGGGTTTCACACATTTGTGGTTGCTTGTAGACGGCTCAAATCAAGCTGGACAGTAATCAGTCCCGTGCCGCACCGGCTGCTACACCATTCTCGATGTGGATGCCCAGACCAAGTGGTGCAGAGCAGTGCTTTTCTCGGATGCAGGTCATTCATTGGGTTCCCAAGACCTCGACTTCGCATGTTTCTCCAACGCCGCCACAGATCCTTCTGGGTCCTGTCCCCGAGACCTTGCAGATAGAGATGTCTACAGTGTTGGCAGTGCCGTCAGCACAAGACGTTCAAAGGTTCGTTTTGGGTTCCCAAGACCTCAGATTCGCATGTTTCTCCAACGTGGCCGCTGCAGCTCCACACAGAGATGCAGATGGAGATGCCAGCAGAATCAGTGATGCTCAAGGATCCAACGTGGCCGCTCCGGTCGAAGGTACTCGCTGCAAGCTCACCTGCAGTAGTTGGGCCACATCTAAGTGCGAAGTGCTTGGGCAGAATCCGAGTATCCTGAATTTCCTCCAACTTTGCTCATGTTCTTTTAAGTTTTAGGCTTTGATGCACAATGTGGATGTTGGCATGTATGAGGAGGTATTGGAGTCCATGTAGAGGGATGTAGAGCCAATTGGTGCTTCTTTGCCTTCTTGACATCAGCCGTTTGAGGCCCCTGCAGCACCAGCATCTCGAATGCGCTGGAAAGATGCCCGTGGCCTTCGTCGCAAGCGTGCGCTGGAGAGATCCAGAGGGGTGCAACATGAGCACGGTCATGTTAGACATGATGAAGCGACAGAAGGAACCGAGAGATGTTCATGCAACTTCACCATCGATGAACTTCGAGTCGAACTTCGTCGAAACAGGGCAAGTGGCATGCAGCGTTTGCGTGGACAGGTGTGGCGCCTGTCACGCGATGCAGCTGGCTGTCGACTGGTGCAAGAAGCGCTTGAATCAGGCGGTCGAGAAGCTGTAGAGTTAGCGCATGAGCTGCAGGGTCATGTCCTAGAAGCGGTGATGTGTCCACATGCAAACTACGTGGTGCAAAAAGTAGTGTCACATTTGTCGGTGGCTGCCAGCAGCTTCGTTGTCAGAGAGCTCCAAGGAAATGGAGTGCGTGTAGCTAAGCATCGCTTTGCTTGTCGCATTTTCTGTCGTCTTTTGGAATTCGGCACCAGTGCAACTTCACAACTGGTTGACGAACTACTAGAGACTGGAGAGAACCTTTGCACGCATAGCTTTGCGCACCATGTGATTCAATCCATTTTGGAGCATGGCGAGGAAAGGCACAAGCATCTCATTGCCAAGATGTTGACTTCGGAGCTCTGGACACATGCGACCCACAAGAACTCCAGCTACCTCATAGAGAAAGGGCTTGACTACTTTCGCGCGGAGGATCAGGATGTCCTGGTGACCACACTGGGGAAGCCTGAGGCCTGGCTTTGCCTGAAGCCTGAAACTACACATGGCATAGAAATAGAATGGCAAGCCCAGACCCTGCCAAGTCTTGTGATTTTGTGTATTGGAGATGTTGATATAGCATAAAAGGTGACATAAAGGTGAATCCATTGTCTTGGAAGCTTCCCATCGGCAGGCTCTGCTGGACTTGGCTATGCACAAGTATGGGAGCTTCGTTGCACGATCCTTGCTGCAGGATAGCCGAGTCAACGTGAAAGCAGCACTACGCCATCTTCAAGATCACCAAGTAGATCTGAAATCCACCAAACACGGGTCACTTGGAGTCTTAGAGGCGAAAGCTTTGGCCAAAGCAACACAACATTTTTTCAGTGGTTTCAGAGTAGATGATATATATATATATATTTACCAGGCTACCGCCTGCAGCCGCCGACCCCAAGAGAAAATGTAGTGGCAGGGTTGGGTCCCGGGATGGTCGCGGGCGGGGTCCTGCCAAAATCTAGACAAGGCCAAGAGCATTCCTACGAAAATGCTGGAAAAGCCGTATAGGCATGAGTACAACAATGGAAAAAAATAGGTTAGCAAAAGGTTACCAATTTTTGGGGGAAATCTGGGAACCTAAAAACAAGAGGAAGCGCTAGAAAATTCTTGGAACAGCATCCAGCCGAAAACGTAACAAAATCTAGACAAAGCCTAGAGCATTCCTAGGAAAATGCTGGAGAAGCCTTTGAAAATCCCATAAATCCAACAGAAAACGTGACAAAATCTACGAAAAAGCAAGGGCATTGGCCGGGACCACGCCGCGACCAGCCCGGGATTCGAGCCTGGGACCATTTTGGACCGTGCTTATTTTCCCGCGCGGGTGGAGAGGGTGCCCCAAGATGTAAATCAATTGGGATGGCAGAATCTTGGACAATCCAGGTCGCCATCAGGTCGCAATCAGGTCGCAATCACATCAAATCCCGTAGCTATCACGTCGCTATTAGGTCGGGATTTCGTCACTGCAACAAGGGTCCGGAGGGGTAGGGGAGGTAAGGTCTAGGTCTAAGGCTAAGGACTAGGCCTAAGGCTAAGGATAAGGCTAAGGCTTAAGTCTAAGGCTAAGGCTAAGGCTTAAGGCTACGCCTCACCCCACGGTGTGGGGTCGGCGGATATAAGTTCAAGGAGGTCCACCACCTTTTGGCTTTTGGCCACAACACCCATTTCTCCTCCCAGGCATCGCTTCCTTGCGGACGTCGCTCTCAAGCAGTGATCGTGGCTCGGATGTGGCCGGGTACAGATGGGCCCACCAATGTGAAGTTTCTGCTCGCCGCACCCGTACGAAGGTGGCACGTCTCGAGTGTCTGGCACGTGGCACCCCGCAAGACTGTTGGCTCAATTCCCAAATTCGAGCCAGGAGTTCTGGGTGGGCTGTACTGTAAGTCTTGAAGTGATGGGTGGGCAGTTGGAATTCGGATTTGTCGGCCACGTGCAGATGGAATGATGGAATAGATGATGGAGCAAGATTGTTTGTGACCCACCAAACTACGTATATACAAAACCAATCAAGGCGTTGCTCTCCCACCGCTTCCCCACATCTATTTCTGGTGGCAATGGAATGATCAGGTGAACTCGTTAGAAGAGCATTCCCATCTTCTGTCTCTGCTCCACCTATTCTGTTCCTCTATGTCTCAAAGCATCGTCGTTCGACTGGCTTTTTGTGGGGCCACTTTGTGAGCGATGGTCTTCGATTCCAACTGCCAGTCATCGACTGTAGTCTATTTGTCTCTCTTAATCAATCCAAACTGCTAAGCCAGTTCAACTCATGTACCATACTGGTACGGAGCGCGATGACGCTATGTAGTGCAAGTTGGTGCCAAAAGTTCGGAGAGAAAGAGAAAGAGAGTTTATAGAGGTCCAAGCAACAGGCGCCCTTGCTGAACAAGAATCCCTGATTTGTTAATGACATCAGACACATTCTGATTCGGACCTGCTTTGATGCATTCAATCTCTTTCACGAGTTCCGTCTTTGAGCAGAGCCCTTTGACCCCTTCAGCTTGAGACTTTTGGTGGCTGTCGGTCCGATGGAGCACAACGGAACAGTCCGAAGCAGATTGACTCAGTGATGTACTGTAATTATGGTTCCTTCAGTACTTTGAAAGCGTCTTGGTCTCAGGAAGATCTGCCACCACTTGGACCCCAAACACACGGCCGTTCCACTGGGAGTCCAGCCGTTCCGTTCTGACTTCCTCGGATGACATGGGAGCTCGGAGTCAGCGGCAGGCGCTGCAGAGGGAGGACGCCAGGTGCCGGAACCTGGCCCGAGGACGCGCGGCTTTGGAGCCAGGTTTTGAACGTTTCCGGACTTTTTGGAGCCTGGTCAGGTTGACTTTTTAGTTGGAATTGGGATGGATGTTAGTCTATGTGAGTCCTTCTTTTCAAGGTTAGTTGGGGCGGGCTAGCTTTGCTATGTTGAGATGAGCGTTGGACCAACACGTGCTCAGTTTGGGGGACCCTGTGGTCGGAGGCGTTCCATCAGGCGATGCCAGGAAGCTAACGTTTGAGTTTGGGAGAGGAAACAAGAGAGTAGTAGCAAGAAGCTACTAGGTTGGAGGCTATCGCTATTAGAACCAACAAGTTGGTTTGACCGGGTGTGGGTTGCCCCTCAGATCATCCGCAGATCCCCCGTCAACCCAACAAGTTCGTACCGTTCCTTAGACGTCCTCACTTTGAGATGTCCTTACTTTGGTCTCTGCTTCGGTTCCCGTAGCTTCCTGTATCATGTATCCAAAGAACGTCCTGGCCGTTCTTTCAGTCTTGGGGCCATGGCCGTTGTCCTGGACCTGGACGTCGGGTCCGAAGATGCATTGACAAAGACGTGGATGCGGTGTCGTTCCAAGTTGGATGAACCCCAACGGCTTGCTTTCTTTTTTTGCAGAATAGACTCTTTCAACTGGCCTTCACACCGGTCCGTTGTGAGAGCAACTCCCCGAAATCAGCGGTCGAATAACGGGCGTCGGTCTTTCAGTACCGTGACCCGCGGGTCGGTTTGGGTCCTGCGCAGGTGGGAGTTTCTACACGTGGGCTACTACGATGACGATTGCTCCCTGGCGCCTTTGGCCAGTTGGGGGCTCAGAGTTCGGGCTGGGAGGCTCAAACTCTGAAGCCACTTGGGGGTGTTCTCGGAGGCTTGGGGTGTTCTTCGAAAGCTTTCAGAGACGTCAGAGACTTTTCATGGGTCAGTCAGTCCATCTCTCACCGGGATGGGGGGAAAAGGGCGAGATCGAAGGATGTGACGGAGAACGTCGGGTGGAACCGACAGATAGATACAGATAGTGGGTCAGGGGCCAACCTTTGTTGAATGTGCCGCCGAGGCGAGGCCAGGCTTTACCTTTGCCGTCCCATTCAGGTGCGACACGGCGGTGGCATGCGGCGGTCTGCGGATATGAGGATCAACAGGGGTCGTGTCGGGAATTTTCATTAAACTTTCAGGGGATTCGTCCGTCCTGTTTAGTCTAGATGTTCTTCCTGGTGTCCTTGATCAGTGGGACACCCTGAGCCATCGATGTCTGGGATCTCCACATCTCCAGTAGATCGCGATCTGCAGGGCATGTCGAGACGAGAACAAGCTCTTAGGCCCGGCTGAAACAACCGGAGACACCACGTTTTGGTCTGTTTTGGTCACTAGAACTAGTGGTCTTCATTGGGTCTGTCGTGTGAGTTGCGGCTTGCGAGTATGGCTTGCTCTTAGACGAGTCTCATCCACACCGGGATGTCAGATACTGAAAGTCGAACACCAGAACACCCAGCCGCAGCACCGTCGGCCACTTCTTTCGGGTCGGCCACTTCAGGCACACAGCGTGACGACGGACGCGGAGCAGCCATTCGTCGACGAATGGTAGAAGTCCAAACGGGCCCAAATTCCAGTTTGGGCGGAGGGTGTTTCAGTTCACAACTAGCTAGCTGTGCCCATGTGGTTGAACCTCCATTCCGGCTTTCTGAACCCCCGAACCCCCTTCAGTTACCCTATTCCCCTCCCAATCGCTTTTTTCTTCGCCCAACGGCACCTGGAATGGGACCCGGCTCCACCGAAGGTCTACGGGCTTTTTGGTGCGGTGCTCCGGCCCGCGGGCGCGCGCCGGCTGTTGGAGGCGTCGAGCCTAGAGCCGGCGGTGCGTTTCGGGCTGGGGCTGTTGGAGAGCAGCTGAGGTTCTGACGTTAAAGAGGTTAGTTTAGGGCTGGTTTTGGGGAAGGGGTGACTGAAGGGCTGGTGACCAGCGATGACGGGTGAAAGACATCGGACGTGCGTGGGGTCCGGCGCCTTGGGATTCAGAGCTCAAATGTAGCAGAAGGATGGAGAGGACATATGAGGCTTCATCCAACAAAGCTCCTCCTTAGTTCCGTAGCCTTTCAGATGCTAACGTTTACTTCCCCCCTTTTTTTTCTCGATCTGCGCGTTTGCAGATAATGTCTTAGCTAGCATTGTGGTCCACGCATCGGGAGAACAAATGCATCGGGTTGTCTTTGGGTGGCGCTTTGAGACGTACGATGAAACTTTGACCTCGGAAGGCATGTTTTTGAGTCGCACTCCGCTATCCAAACTACCCAGGTCCAGCCAGACGTACCTGGTAGCGAAATCTCACCTGCAAAAATAGCACGGCTGTCCCCTACGCTCTCTTTTCTCTAGTGTGTGTTTTCAAGATACAGTATGTTTTCTTTTTTGTTGTCTGGCGAATTGGTGGTCTTGCCGCTGAAGTATGGGAAGAAAGATGCTGAGATATGGTCATGGTCCCAGTTGATTCAACACTCAAGACCCCCTCAAACACCATCGCGCTGCCGCATGCTTTTCTCAAGAGCTGCGTGGAGGTTTTGTTTGGTGGCCGCATCTATTTGCAGCTTTCCTTTTATTTTCTCGCCCCCATGGCGAAACTATGCTATCACTTCAGCTTCATTGACGAGGAGTCGGAGTCCACATCAATGCTTGGCATGAAGCGGGCCCAAAGCTGCAAAATCCCGGAGCATGGCCTGGAGCGGGTTGACTGGCAGAGTCAGATGCAGGTGTGAGACGGAGAAAGCATGTCTGTGTTCGGCTTCTCAGGGTCCATTTTCACACGGTGTTGCCATGAAAGGCTTGAATGTAGATCTTACATGATCTTAATCTTTCGGCATTCACAGAGGTCATGGAGCGGGCTTGCAGGCCAGGCACCCTTTCTAGACAAGGTACGCACGAACTTGGAATCTTTTTGGAATGATTTGACAAGAAACAAGACCAGGTGGCAAGCTCTATCGGTCTATCGCAAACGCAGGATTTTAGATTAGATACAACAGGGTGGTTTTGGAGTACAAGACTCAAGAAGTATAACTTTTGTCCACATACATTTCTTGCTCCGAAAAGCCTGAGGTGTTTGCAGTTGCTCTTTCTGGTTGGTGTATATAAGTTGTGAACGGGGGTGATGTGTTCCTTCGAGCGCATACTAACTAGTTGTGCCTTTTTGGTGGCAAACTCGACGCGAAATCGCGTGTCGGTGGCAAGATTGGTTTGAATCTGTGGCAGGATTCTGTGGACGAACAAGCCTAAAGGATCGTCCGAGCAAGTCCTAAAGCCTATGAGATGGACGATTCATGCTTTCAAATCTGAAAACGAACATGTCTTTGGTCTAAACAGGGCCCAACTGCGAACATGATGTGAAACTTTTTTGCGACAAGCTTGCCTTATTTTGGTGGACTTGGCAGATAACACTGTAGTAGATGTAGTCTTTCATTCAGCCAAAAGTAGAAAGGCAGAGGCCCAAAAGCATGGAATGCAGGGCTGCTCATCCGCCTAGACCATGGCGCTCACATCAAGAATATACAGAACACCACCAAGCACGCTACCAACTTCTACCAACATTTGAAGCCGACCCATGTGCGGAATGGTTTGGGGCTGTAAACTATCTTGCCCATCCTTGGTTTTGCCGTTGTGCGGCCTGTGTGGCACTTGGTATCCTGCATGGAGTCCACTAAGTGGACTCACGCGGATGACTCCAGCTGGCAGGTGCGGACGTTGCACGCACGGTCCCAGCATGTGGCTGATCAGACGCAGGCCATGCTGGAGTTTCCGAAGCCAGGCACCCGGGGCCGGGTGGTCCCAATCCGAGGCCGTCGCGAGGTCGAGTCTTCGGGATGGTCCTCCAACGACACAGCACCAGGTCCGAGATGTAGACGGTGGATGCATCAGTGAATGTGAAAACAACATCTGGAATATTCTAGAGTCTAGACATATATTTGATGGTTTGGCCATGTAGGGCTGCCATTGGGCAACATAATTCTAGACATGTAGAAGTTGAGTCTGGCATATGAGAGGATCGATTGCTCATCTCCAATGATCGAGTGGACACTTCTTCAGATCCGCGAGGTGCCTCGTACGGCAGCCATGGGCATCCACACCTTTGCCGCCGGCCGTGCATCCTTTTTCTGCGTGGAAATTGCCAGGAGGTGGGATGCCGGAGTGCGACCGTCGTGTGTGTCGCATCAAGGAGTGTGTTGTCGCGGTGGGACAGGTTCCGGGTTTCTCGGCTTCGCTCAGGGCACAGGGTGGATGTTCCTGTGCACACGAGCGTGCGCGCGTGCAACACGTGCCTGCAAAATCGGAAGTGTGCAAGCCTTGGGCAGGGTCAACACATTTGCTGTGTTTGGTGAGAACTTCGTGACGGCGGCTGTGGTGGCGTAGGTAATTGACTTGGAGTTCACTTTTTTCCCCAATAGCGATAGCGATAGCGGTGGTACACTCTTGACGGCGGCTGGGCGCGACCGTCGGATCCACGGGGCCCCAGCCTGGGCAGTGGTGTCCCGGCGTCTCGGTCATGGCCTGGTGTTGCCTGGGTATTTACATCTATTTTGGCTGGATATCGTTTTTTGCAACGCTGTGTGTGAACTATGGGATTGCGCTCAACATGGTTTGTTTATTGAAAGTTGTGTTTGATATCCCACTTGTGAAAAAGAACAACACGGACGCCAAGTCTTGGTGGATGCTGTTGGGGTCGTCGGCTGGGTTAATGTGGCACAGTTTCCTCATGCTGTCAAAGTCTTACAGACAACTTTTAGCGGCAGTTGCCAAGGTGCAGAGTTTGTGGCAATTCTTGAAGTGGGGGTTTTCTGTAGTGGTTTTTCGCGACAACTTGGTTCTCTCTCAGATCGCCTCATGGGGTATTTCTCTCATTTTGGCCGATCTTCGGCGCCTTGGTGGGCACGCTCCACACGCTCCACGGCACTTCGGTTTCGCTCCACACTGCCTTGCTGCACACGGACGTTTGGGGGGCTCGCGCTGTGGTTGTTTCGGACGTCCTAATAGGGTCCGGTTTTACAAGCGTGAAGCGTTCCCGCCCCAAGATGCCGACGCAGGCCAACCAACCTTTTTTTGCTGATGTGTTGGGGTGATTTGGAAGGGGATCTCGAGTCATTGAGATGCTTTGGGCCAAGGGTGCTGAGTGTGGCTACTGCCATGCTTCACATCCACAGCGAGCAGCGACCTTTGACAGACACCAGCGGAGGATTTTGATCTCTTGGTCTAAGGTGCAGTTGCTTGAACCTTGAAATGGACATCAACAATTTTTGCCGCAATGTTTTTTTTCCGGATGCATTTTCCAAGATTTGGATCTTTGGAGTTTCGCAAGATCAAGACCGAATGACCTGTGAGGAAGTGGTGCTTCCTTATTTCCGGGAAAGGGTGGAGGGGATCAATCATCCAGGAACAGCAGTTCTGTTGGAGTTGGTGGAACGCGAACTGGCCATTCGTGACCCCGGTCATCATAGCAACTCGCCAGAACTTCTTTGATTTTCTATGAGGGCTGCTGTCCAGGCCCCCTCCCAGCTTCAACACGCATAATATTCTATAGAGATTACTTTTGGAACACATATTGGATCGTGGCTGTGGTACCGCACATGTGCCTCTTCGCAAGGTGTCGTGGTGGAGGTCCCGCGCCTCATCCACCACACGCTTGCTGGCATGACTTTGTCTGCTTTGGTGGGCGTTATTTGCTCCAAGAATGGCAACCTGCCTTTCGCTCGGCTTTTGGAGAAAGCTTTGGTAGACCTTCGTCAGCAGGTCGGAGGCATTGATGGATCGACGGGATGATGTACATCGGACTTCATGACTGAGTGAGGCAATGTAAAAGAGACTTTAAACTTTCAAGACTGAGCCGCCACTTGCATACCCTGTTCCAAATACGTGTTATTTCAAGCTGAAATCCCAAGGTTCCAAGCCGTGTATATACAGAAGTGGCGAATCGGATTCAGGTCCACCGTCCCGACCTGACCCAAAGAGGTCGCAATGTTCTAAGGCAGCCCCTAGCTGAGAGTAGATTGTTGGGGGAGAGCTGATGGGTGACGAGGGCCTGAGCGCGTTGGAGGCGTTCAGCGGGGAATTTTTCCCCTCCTCTGACTGAGTGTGTTGGACCTCTCTGAACGACAGGCGCGCAGAACTTTTGTGTAACCGTTCTGCGAGCGGGTGCCGTTCAGGGTTCCTAGTTGCGTTTCGGAGCGTTCCGTTTCTGCCGGACCAGAGCGTGGTGTGGCGATGGACACCAGAGCGTGGGACCAGTTACGTCAGCTGGACCTGGCAAGGAAGGCTGATGTTCAGTCCACAGACCGTGCTGGGAAGAATGAACAGTTTGTATTTTTGGAAGATGAATTGAAGATGAACCGTAGGTCACCGTTCAGGATGTTCAGGCTTAAGTTGCAAAAACCAACGGAGCATATCAGGGGAAAGAACGACAGGCTCGTCCCGGCACCCGAGTTCCCTTAATTTTTGCGAACCTCGTTGGGAGTGGCAAATGATTTGAGGCACGAGGAAGCCGTGGTTGCACCCCACCGTCGTGAATCCGGCACTCCCAAGGCAGTCCGCCCTTCGTCCAGTGACTGCCCCTTGGACCCTCCTGAGGTGTTCGGTCCCCCTGTGTGCCTCGGTCACCAATGTTCGCCCAACTTGGCCAGCAGCGAAATCGCTGAGCTGATCAATTTCGGCAAAGCTGATCTACATGATGTAAACAAGATGTTTGTATATGTGCATATAGAATATATATATGCACTATAAATACAAGTAGTATATTTTGTATACACATACATTAGTCATATACATGCACATATGGAGACTGGAGAATGTTTGTCCCCAAGATCACGATATGTATCAGTAGTGCAGGAGCACTCTTTCTTCAACGGAAGCAGTGGTGCATGTGCAAGATGTAGGTTTGAAGATTGCTTTCGTTGATTCGATCAAGCAGCAGAATGCTGCGGACATGGCACAGGATCCTTTTCCAGGTAGCATACCCTCATGGATTCCACAGTCAATTGCTCCCAAGAAACGAGGAGTGGGACTCTGAAACGATTCGCGTTGATCCCGGGGTATGTGCTTTCATGCATCTTGGCATTTTTGGCGTGCATCGCCAGATGCCAGGATTTGTTTCAAGACATTGTGCGACAGTTTGCTTGACCTGCGCAACAAGTTCGCAACGGTCAAGCATGCCCAAGATTAAATTCAGGATGGAGCTGGACATTTGGTGCGTTTTGCTGTGTCCTGGGAGTGAGTGGATGTTAGAAGGTCAGTATTGGTAGGCATGGTTTAGCTCATCATTGAGGATGGACATTTCCTCTGGAACTCTGCGGCTTGGCACCAAATGAGCGGACCAAGCGTCCACCGGTGCGGTTGAACGGTTCGCTGGACCAATGAATGATCTCATGCGTCAAAGACTAATGCTGTAAAGTTGATTGTTTTTAAGAAGCCTCTGGCGAAGGGTTACAAGGGGCTCCGAAATAGTCACCGGCAATTGTTTGAACATTTGTTTTCAATTGTTTTGCAATTGTTCAATTGTTTGGGTAATTGTTTTGCAACTGTTTTGAAGGTTGAATATGTTCAACAATTGTTTCATCAATTGTTGGAATATTTAAAACAATTGTTTCAACAAATGTTCAATATTGTTTTGCAATTGTTTTGAATTTGTTGAATATTTGCAACAATGGTTTTGCAATTGCTTTGGAATTGTTGAATATTAGCAACAATTGCTGCGCAATTGTTTTTGAAATTGTTGCTTATGTTCAACATGTTTGTTCGCAAGCAAACCTTTTGAACATACTGAACATGCAAGTTAGTAATTGTCGGTTTAACATGCATCACATCGATGGCTGGGGCTGCTATATAACAGCAACAAAAAACATGCATCACATCGATAGCTGCCTCCATCCTTAGCCGTTTCACATGTTGTGATAATATCTGGTTCACTTTCCTCCATCAATCCTTTGGTTCAAGATGGCCCCCACAATTGGCGAAAGAGTTTCGCTTCCATGTTGAATGGGTGGGGGCGATGCTGAGCTTACATGATTTGGCAGGGATTGCGCTTGGTGGCCAGCAGCCTGCTAGGGCCGGTCTTAGACCTGGTGCTGGTGGACGTGGCCGCCTTCGGCGTGGTGTTGGAGTTGGTGGCCGCCTTGGGCGTGGTGTTTGCCTGGGGCGTGGCGGCCGTGGCTTGGCCAATGCTTTCAGGGCAAGAGCTAGGCGGATGAATGCAAGGAGAAGCTGGGTCAGTTCCTTGAGGAAAAAAGAAAAGAGCACAGGGCAGACACATTCAGGCTGCAGGCTCAAGCGTCCAATGCGTCAGGGCGCCGTAGAACCCTAGATCATTTGCTTCTTTTGCAGCCTGCTGATGAAGCCAGGCCCAAACCAAAAGGTCGGGAAGCAGTGGACGCCTGAGGCTATTTTGAGGGCCGCCTTTGGCGAGGCTACTGCAACAGTAAGGCAAGCAGCAAGGGAAGTTGATGGGGCAAGTGCTGCCCATGTGATCAAAGCCCGCATGTTCATTGGCAAGTGCCTCCTTGATTGTCAAGCCAAGCATATCCAATCAGAGATAAGCCGGCTGCGTGAAAGAGGTTTGCTGCTGTATCACATAGTGAACCTGATGTTCGACGAGACAGAGCTGGATGTTTCTTTGAAACAAGTTGGGTCTGCAAGCTGGTCAGTCTTGGCAAGCCACAGCCAACTTAGCATCTGTGCTGCAGGCCAGAATGTGGAGATTGACATAGCAAGGCCGCCAAGGGCTCTAGCTCGTAAAACGGCTGAGGCATGTGGGGCGCGCTGTGCCTGGACCAAGGCGGCCTTGGGCCTGGTTTCATTGGGTCTCCAGCAAAGTTCTCTGCTGTGCTGGTGTCGTGTGACCAGCGTGCAGCCAACATACGGCTGCTCAAACACTTGCATGCAGTGATGCCGCAGAACTCCTTCATATTTCCCAGCCTGTGCGCCCAGCATCGAAATCGAACTGTAATTGAAAGGGCGACCAAACATCTAGGCATATTGCCAGGTTCATTTTGCGTGTCCAAGAGCACCCGCCGAGGGAAGTTTCTGCAAGACATCACAAAAGCAGTTGAAAAAGTCTTGTCTGAAAACCTGGTGATCATGGACGCAGAGTCTCCTGGCTTGCAAGCTGAATGGGCAGCCGCCCGCAGGCAGGCAAAAGAGTTTTTGAATACAATGCTGCAGTGCGAAGACGAGAAGGTGGCCCCTGGAGAGGACAGCTTGGGCAGAGCAGGGCTGGGGGGGACTGTTGGTGACAAGGGGTTTGTAATTTTTTCTTTAAACAGAATAATTGCAGCCAAGGTCCGGGTAAAGGCGGCTAAGGCACATGTAGTTAGTTCTAGTTGGCCTTACCTTAACTTTACCGTAACTCACTTTCCTGGGTTGCGCAACTTGTTCGCTAAAGACCAGCAAGCCGTTTGCTTGGAAGCAACTGTTTTGCGCCGGCCTCTTTTGGCTCAAAGTGTTTCAGAGCTCAACGTTGCCCACGATCGACTGAGCGCAACCTTCAGCAATGGTCCTGTCCAAGGAGTTGGGTCAGAACAGGACACTGGCAAGTTTGAATGCGCATGGGCTTGGAACAGCGTACTTGCCTTTGGATGCACGGGCTAAGGTGTTCCACGGCCTTAGGCCTGGTTCCAGCATGACAGACGCCATTGTGGCTGGTGTGCTGTCAGAGTTGGACCAGTTCCTGGTTGTGGACGACTACGGTTCTGTGGAATGCGTGAAGTATGCCCGGCAAGAATACAACAAGAGGCATCCTATGACCTTGGTCTGCGAGAGAGTTACCAATGGCAGGCTTTGGCTTGGGGGGAGAAGGCTGTCCACGACTCAGTGCTCCTCTCTGAGAACGAGGTGGGGTATGTTTGGCCTGCCTGCAAGTCTGCAATGTTTGAGAGTCCAAATGTATGTGTCTTGGACACTGTGGATGGCACTGCGCTGCGCATGGGGATGTTCCTTGGGACCGAGTCATGAACATCGTCGATGAGATCATCAAGCTGCTGTTGGATGGAAAGTCTGTCCTCATAGCGTGCCACAACGGCGCACACCGTTCGTCAACCTTGACGTGCCTGGTGCTGATGCACCTTTAGGCTGGTCAGCCGCAGAAGCTGCTGCGTTCCTCACTACAATGAGGAACATTGTGGACCTCAACAGCCGCGCTCCGCCTTCAAGAGGGCGAGTGGCAACAGTTCGCCCAATCGATTTTTTGGAATCTGTGGAGGGAAAAATTCATGTGAGTCACCCAGCTGCTTCCAAGGTGGCCTAGGCTTTGTCCCACTGAGGCGCAAGGCCATTGAGGCAGGCTTTGTAGCTGCATTTCCTGTGGGCAAGGCTTCCAAGCCTCCTCTTCTTTACAGAAGCGACCGACAGTCATCCTCTTCTGAAGCAGAAAGCATGCTGCTTCCTCAGCAGTTTCAATTGACAGAGGCTGAGGCCAGCGACACTGGCGCTTCCTTCTACCATGTGCCCCACCCCCCTGAAGGCTTTGACAAAGGCACCTGGCATTTTCTTGAGACCCCTGTGTCCACACCTGGTGGCAGCAGCAACCATGGCGAGACCTCTGACCTCCGAAGACGCAAGCTCCGCCTGCTGGTCCAAGATTTAACTGCTTTGCAACGCAAATTGGAAGGCCACGTTGATGCAGCAGGCGGCTTTGAGCCAGGTGTCACACTGAAAGACGCCTCTGGCGAAGTTGGTGCAGTTGTTGTTGGGTCTGACCTGACTTTGCTAGCTGCGCCTTCGGCGGCGTCTGGCAGTGTGCCTGAGCCACTGCATCCACCTGGGTATGTGTCTGG